AGGCAGTGTGCCGTTTTCAGACCACGGTACACAGATTCTCGCGGGGGCTTGGTTGCTGTCAGCATCCCATGCGGATGGGAAGAGGGCGCCCCCTCGGCGGCATCCAGCCCTGCCTCACGTCGGGCCCTTTGACGAGGGACCGTCTTTGTGCCTCCGTCTCTGTGAGGCCGTGACCCTGCAGGAGGCCCGGGGGCGCAGCTCTGGGCTCAGTGTGTGCGTGACAGGCCAGGTCCCGAGGTCCAGATTCTGGCCCGGTCGCTGGGGCCCGGGCATCTGCGCTATAAAAGCTTCCCTGGGACACGGAAAATCAGTGCCCCCGAGCTGCGTCTCTGGTCTCTCAGGCTGCCGTGGACAGGGATCGGGCCCGCTGGCGAACACTTGCCGTCCTCCAGAGAGCTCGAAGCACTTTTTGCAGCTGACCGTAACTGTGTTGACAGCAAATTATTTTTGTATTTGAAAAATAAAGTTAGGCATAAATGATGAAGACAGAACTAATTTTGTTTTGGTGCTGTGCAGAAGACAATTTAATCTGTTGTCTTTAAATAACACAATCCACTTTTATAAATAGGTTTTAAGATGTAGTAAAATAGCTGCTGTGAAAGTAGCGGAAATCACGGAGCTGATACAGAAGGCCCTGGAAAACGACCAGAAGGTGAGGTAAGTCTTGTCCCAGAGCTCAGTGTGTCCCTTAGTTTCGGTGTCTGACAGCCTTTCTTGCCCAAGCGTAACCGTGTCATTTGCACTCCGTCTCTCCTGGCACTCAGTTGAATATGCTTCTGTGTTTTGAAAGTGGATTGTACTTTGTTCTGTTCACTGCAGTTTAATACTTGAAGTGTGTCATATCATTTTTCTTGAAAAAGTTAATATTTTCTGTTTGCTTGGAAACTTCTATGATGTAGAAGCTTGCTATGCGTCTTTAAAACATACTACCACCAAACATAGTATTTTTATCACAATGTACACTTCTCCCTAAAAAATGATGGAGGCAAATCAAGGCAGAATATGTGTGGAAATTTAATGACATAATTTTGCAGACTTGACCCACAACTGCAATTTAATTTTCTCAGGGAGATAGTCTCTAGAACTTGCTCGCCCTATTCGTACTAATACTTTCAAGAAGGGTTTGCATAAGCACTAAATTTTAAAAACACTATTTCCACAGTTTGGAGGCTAGAGCAGGCCCTGTCAGCCCACAGCGCCGTGCGGGCCGGGGCACAGGCCACCCTGTGAGGCGTGCGCAGCCCGCTCGGGGCGGGCGGCGAAAGTTTCCAAGGGTCTGTGAAGCGACACTTGCGGGTTGAGCCCAAGAAGTCCTTGACGGTCAAACACAGTTGTACTAGCATGAGCTGCTTCTATGGAAGGAAGCTAATTTATCTCCTCTTATTATTATTATTTTTTTCAATGATTTATTTGTGCATATAGAACTAGGGCCAGAGGCTCAGGGGTGGTGAGAGGCTTCACCAGAGACAGAGCAGGGAGCAGAACAGGCAGATCGACAAAGTCCACTGCTGAGGGGAGCAGCGGGCGGGTCAGGAGAGGTCTGCCGCGCCCTGGGGTCACCTCCGGGGCGGGGATCGAGCTGGTGCTGAAGTGGCTTCAGCTTCTCAGTGCTGCGCTTTAACCCCTGTGCTACCAGGGAGGGCCTCCTCTTACCACTTTTAATTGTACATTTATTTGAAATGTTTTTGTCTAACAACGTAGTTATTTTAACAACAGCAGTGAAGCCACATTCACTAGAGAATAATGTAGCACTTGGTACCAGGCAGCCAGCCGTAGGAATCCATCAGATGAGCTATTCTGGGTCTAGAAATAGTGCAAGCCGTAAGGTTATATGGTATGAAGATTACCAAGCAGTCATTCACGCTGTAGCTCCCTATTATGTCTTCAAACTTACGGCGAAAGTTCTAGATGTCCGTCACTGCCCTTTACAAACCGGCCTTTGGGCCCCCTTGTCAGTTTAAGGGTGTTTCCAGGGGCTGAAGGGCTCGCACTAAGCCAGGTGCCTGGTGTGTTACGGTTCAGAGTAAAAGACGTCAAACGTCTTCCTGGGGGCAAGAACCTTGTAACTGAAGCCCAGTGAGAGCCCAGGCCACGCAGTAGCAGATCGCGCTCCAGCGACCTCTGCGGCATGGGGTGAGGCTGCCTGTGGGGCCGGTGAAGATGGGGGCGATGCTCGGCCATCGCTCAGCCTGTTGCCTCCTGCGTGGGGATTACAAGTCGCGTGCTACTTCTCCCCACAGGCCTGACAAATCACTGGCTTAAGTTAGGCAAATATTTGCTGGAACTTTCCACCCATCAAACAGGGGAAAACTTTTCCTCCTTGTCTTTTCTCCCATCTGCCATCTCCCCCCCCCTTCCCGCCCACACACACACAGGAAAGAAGGTGGGAAGTTTGGCTTTGCAGAGTCCATAGTAAATCAGAGAATCACAGCATTTAAAATGGAGAAGAAGCCCGTTGACACCTCGGACGTGGAGGAGAAGGCGGAAGAGATCGTTGCTGAGGCTGAGCCCCCCTCGGAGGTGTATCTTTACTGGCTGGTTTCCCGGGAATAGCAAGATCCAAACTCTGGCGTTACCAGGGCGGCGCGAAGGGTGTGCGTGCCTGAGGCTGGCCTTCAGCCGCACTAGACTTCGTTCGAGGACATGCTTAAGGCGGTCGGTGGTGTGAACACCCCCCTTCAGCTGCCCTACAGAAACCAAAGTTCTGTCTGTGGAACAGACTTAGAGCGTTTCACTTGCCTTCACAAAGTTGTTCTTGACCCCAGTGTCTTGAAATTTGCTCAGCCAGTGTCGGGGGCCGGCCTATCTTGCTGTCCGTTTCTTAACTTGTTAAGTGTTCCTGACCCTGTGCTCTGGACTCCTGGAACTGCCCAAATCGGAGAGGGAATCGAAAACTCCTGGGGTGAGCTCGAGGACTCCGAGAAGGAGGACGAGGACGAAGGCAGCGGCGACGAAGCGGTCATCGTTGACAGTAGCAGAGTGGACACTGCCGCAGGAGTCTCTGCTGCCACAAGCCACGGTGGGTGGCGTCGGCTTTACGTACAAGGCCACGTCACTGTCATCTTTCTAAATCCCTTTTTAAACTTTAAATTTGTTGGTGTAGAACAACCGGGGTGTGTAGGCCAGAGGTGGCAGGGTGGGACTCCCCCAGACACAGGGTGGGGAGCAGAATAGGGGGATCCACTGCTGAGGGGAGCAGCGGGCGAGGCACGACAGGTCTGCTGCGTCCTGTGGGTCACTCCCTGGCCGGGGGTGGACTTGGGCGCAGCGGTGACAGCCCAGTGGCTTCTGGGGAGGCAATGTGGGCCTTTCGGGGGGTGAGTTTCCTAAAGATCTAACTCCTGCATACTCTTTTCTTAGTTTCTACAATACGAGCGCTAGGGCGTGCCAGTGCAGAGCTTTCTGCAGTCGAGGAAATCAGTGGAGTAGCCACTGACCACACAGCTGTTGTTTACTGCAGAATCAGATGCCAAATTCTTACTGCTCACGTAAAAGTAAACAGCGACATGTGGCTACTGAGTTGGGACAGTGCTGGAACATACCAAGTCCTGGTCCCAGGCGGCGTAGCTTGCATTCAGAAAGCCACTGGAGAAACGTGTGCAGAAAACTGGTACTAGAAAAGGCGAATCCCACACCTGTCTGCTCGCAGGGGAGGAGATACTCCTCCCAGCATTGTCGCCAAGGATGCTGCTCCTTACAGCACAGCTGCTGACCCGGTAGGCTGACTACAGGTCACTTTGAGACTGGCTCTGCGGAAGACGATGTACCGCCACGGACCGATACAGCCTCGCGCTTCCTCTGTGGGCTCGTACGCAGCATTCGCCTCCGCGCGCCACCCTGCACCCGTGTTCCCGGGGAGCCTCGTTCTCCAGAGCCCAGGCAGCCTGCGAGGCCTCCACTGTGCCGACGTGGCCGGGGCCCGGCCTGTGGGACTCGTGTTGTTCTCTTACTCCCATAGGTGCCCCCACCGTACTCTCAGACAGTGAGGAAGAAGAGACGATCATCTTAGAACCAGACAAGAGTCCAAAGAAAATAAGGTAACACGTTTCTGATTTATTTCAAATATGTACAAATATTCAGAGCTCACAGGCTTGCCTCCAGCTTCAGCCCCACCTGTCCCTGTTGGTTGCTAACGTGCTTCCCCAGTGGGAGTCTGTGCATGGCCGGGCCCAAGGAAACTTCCACTCCCTCAGCTGGTGAACGTCCTGCCCCATTTGGGACAGACAGACCTATTTTTGGTGACCTGAAACATAAGCGAAACAGTGCGGCTGGCACGTCAGCTCTGGACTCGGCCTCTAGTGTTAATAACGTTCATCTTCTTTATTTACAGAACACAGACCGTCAGTGCAGAAGGAAAAGCACCAAGTAAAAAGCCACTGAAAAGGCGGAGAAAGAGACCTGCTAACTGAAGCTCCTGTGGCTGTGCTTGTAGCCATTAAAAGGCTGTTGGGCCGCACCAACAACCCCCTGGTGTTCTTTATTCATAAATCCTTTGTAAAACCTGGTTACTTATGTAGGTTTTAAGTAAAAGGTATTTTCATTCAGTGTGCGGCAGCTGACAGTCACTTCACTGTGACTGACGACGAAATCAGCACGCTCAGCGATGCTGAGGCTACACACACCCCAGTCCGCGAGCTGTGCAGTTGCTCGTGGGGGCGAATGTGAAGGTGTTTCCCAAAGGCAATGTTAGGGGAAACCTCACCGCTCCCCATTCCATAGTAAACCACTTTTTTCTCCGAAGTCCTGGAGTCAGGTTTTTACCTTACATTTGATATCGCAACCAGGTTTTCCAAATCAATTTATTCATATTCTCCTCTGAACAGCTGGCATCTTTCATACTTCCCACAGAAGCACTTAGAGTAACCAGACATCTAGGATAGTCACATGTACAAAAGATACACAAATTAAAATCATTTAAGAGGTAATAGACACCATAATTCGTACTAGTCTATAGTCTGTGTTCAGAAATGATTGCAAAATTAAAACGCAAGATTAAAAACTGTACACCATAGTCTGAGTGATCTACACCTCAGGAAACAAAGGCAGTCTCCCTGTCACACGTTTAGGGTGTCTGGTGGGCTGAGGAGAGAAACACCATGGTACCTGGAAGCAGAAGAAAACCGTTCTTAGCCACTGCGTCTGTGGGTGGAGCTCACGGGATGACGCACCAGGGCATCATCCTGTCTGCCTGCCGACTGAGCAGCAGCCACCGCCTCACCCTGCAAATGTGCACCTGCGCCCCAACCGCCAACCCCGCCCCCCGCCACGTCCCAGGAAGCACTAACCACAGCAACCTTTGCAGAAAGTGGAACGCCAGAGGTGCGAATCTGCGCACTTACTTTGAGCTCTTGTACTTTTCTCGGATTGACTGTTGGGCGTGCTGGGGGGCTCTGAGGTAGGTCTGGTGAAGGTCCAGCAGACAAGGCTTCAGGCTGTCCAGGGTGTAGCCAGTCTTCTGCACTAGAGACTCGGGCTAAGGGGAAACAGACACTAAACAACAAAGCGAGCGGCATCCGGCTCCCCGCCAGCATCCGGCCGGCCCTGCACCTCTTCAACGCTTCTCACAACTAGGTGGTGATGAAGCTTCTGTTCCCTCTCAGCTAACAAGCAGGTGCTACTCCCTGGCACGGCACTTAAAACAGCATTTCAGTGGCCTTCCCAGGCCAGTGCGTCTAGACATCAGGTGTCCAGGACGGCCCCAGCCTGTGCGTCGCAGGCGGGCGGACAGACATACCCAGCTTTGTCCCGTGACGGTGTAGAGTGCTAAGTGGAAGGCTGCGGCGGCAATGACCGACGGCAAGTACTTCAGGTACGGCTCGGCATCTATCAGGCTCAGTTCTCCCAGAAACTGAAACGGAAAGGCGGATGTTCTTGACCAGGCGTGCCCTGACGGCCCGCTGGCCCCCGCCAGCAGCCAGAGAAAAATTCAATAGCCGGTGTTTAACTATGGCCTGTGTCGGCGTCTCGCCCCTCCTCATCCTGTCCCCTTCCGCTTCCGCGATCGCCCTCAACAGCCCTTCGGACAGCGCCCTGCAAGGCCGCTCCTTGTCCCACCACCCCCGGGCCTTTCCCATGTCTGGCTTTCTCCTGTGTCACTGTCACAAGGGGTCGCTCGGCACGAGCTGTGTAAGGACTGGGGTTTGCCCCAGTGAGGCCTCAGCAGCTCTGGCCAGCAAGCGACAGGAGCTTACCATCGCTAAGCTTTCAACCTTGCAATCTGCAGGCTGCTGGTGCAGAAAGTACTGGGTGAGGAACTGGTTGACCGTGGGTGCGGCCAAGTCGAAAGCAAGGACTTTGAGGACGAGGTGCTCCATCCTCAGGACCTGCTTCTTCGTGTAGGTGTCGTCCGTAATGTACACAAACTCAGCCACTTCCGGCGGGTAGATTTCTTCGAACTTTCTACAGGGGGGAAGTTTTTAGCGGTCAGTCTTTTCCAAACGGCCCGTCGAGTACAAGAGTGAGCCTGAAACGCGAGCCGCTGCGCTGACACTGCACCAGCAGAGGGAGCGTGCACACCCACGCCACGTCGCCACACCCAGGGCGCGGGGAGCCGCTGCTGGGACAGCGTCGGCGCCAGCCCAGTCACTGGCGGTTTCCTCAGACACATTTGCCTTGGAATTTCGCTTCCTGTTCTAATCGGGCACCGGATTCACACAGATGCCGGGGGACGCCAGGGCCCACGCGGGCCATCTTTGCACTCTTGTCCCTGGGCTGTAACTTGCCATCCCGGCCACGTTCTCTCAAGAAGGCCCCTGGAGTCCGGGCCGGGAGGACTAGGGCCCTACACCGGAGTCATTGCACCCGGCGGCCGCCCTCACAGCTGCCGACTCGCCGCCCGGGAGCATCGCCACTTCTCTTCTCCGCGGACAGCCCGCCCCCTCCAACCCACCAGCCACGCCGACTCACGAGGCCAAGAGCATGGCGGCAGTGCCCACAAGCTGAAGTTTTCCTCGCAGCACAGACATGGACGAAAGGAACCGGTCAATGTAGTTGACAGCCAAGTGCAGGGTCTCGTTCTGGAGTTTATACTCTTCTCCTACTTCCACCAACCAGTCCACGAGGATCGCGCGCATGCTGTTAGTGATGTCCGGCTGCTTCTTCATGTAGCCCACTTTGGGCTTACACTTGACCTGTAGAGAGAGTTACTGACGTCGACACTCGAGCGCGACCATCCTGCCGGTCAGAGGCGAGAGGAGGTGCTGCACGAGCCCCCCCGGACCGTCTCTACCTCCATTTCCCTCAGGTACGTGTGAATGTCCTCATGGTAGTCGGGCACTTCATTAACGCTCACTGGCTTTTCATCTTCCAGGACGATCGACATGTCCATACTATGCGGCGACTCTGCAAGAGTTCAAAGGAGGGTCAAGTTCAGGTCCGGGACTGCTCCCGTCAGTGGCTGTCCTGCCAGGGGGCCGCAGCACGGCAGTCACGCTGCCCAGCCAAACCGGCTCTGCTCACGTAGCAGACTATGTCGCTCTGGCTCCACGCACCTCCGTCCACTTCAGCTTCGGACTCATTTTTAAGTCACAGGTGAAAGAAATGTTGGTAGTTCACTGGGAGGAAGAGGGTTCGAGGGCCAAGTGTGAAAGGCCCATTCCCCCGCCGTGACCGGCAGTGGCTCTGCGCAGACAGCGGAGTCAGGCTTTCAGGCACCCAGGACCTCCCCTCCAGGGGTGCAGGCCCCAAAGCGACTCACTCAACAGCAAACATTTACACAGTGACTGGAGCAGGGCCCAGTCTGGCTCACCCAGCGGTCGGGCGTTTCTGCATGCGAATACACGAAGGGTTTGAAAGGGCTTCACCGCGACTCCCGGGCCCTGGGCCGCAGCCCCCAACAGAGCGGCGGTGCCACAGCCACAACTGCCCACGCTGTGGCTGAATCGCCGTGGTTAGCGCGACGGCCGCAGCCGAGGCAGTGGCTGGGGCAGCCGCTCAGCCTTTCACAAGCAGGCGTGGGACTGGGGAGCTGGAAGAGGGAGGCGGCCGTGTCCCCACTCCCACCACCGTGTGGCGTCCACACACCTGCGCTCTGCCACGAGGGAAACATTTCCTGAGCCCAGGAACCCGGAGCTGACGCTGAGCCCACCAGGCTGGATGCCCCGGGAGCATCTGCCACCCGGAGGACGCGGGGCGCCTCCAGGTCACCCCCTGTCTAGCTCGATGCTTGACTCTCTACGAGGAGCCAGGTAGGAGCAGGGTCTGACACCCCGACTTCCGCTCCCTCGCCTGGGTCTGCCGCCCTTCCTGTGAAACCTACCGAAACTGCCGTCCATCGGGTAGTCCAGGGGCGCCAGCGGCCTCCTCGGCCCGGGCAGGGCCACGGCGGAGCTGAGGGCCAGCTCGTCCTCGCACTCAGGGTCGGCGGCTGCGGCCGAGCCCGGCCTGCTGTCGGCCGGCTCCTCCGCTGCGTCCACGTGAATGGCAAAGGCCGGCTGCCGGCCGCCGGCTTTCCAGGGCGGGAGCGCGACATGCTCGTCGTTCACGGGCAGGTCCCTGAGGGGCGCGACCTGGAAGGGCACGGGCGGCGCTGCTCGCGGGTCCGGGTTTCTCCCCCTCCCGAACGGCTCCGTCTGGGCGGCTCAG